ACACACACACACACACACACACACACACACACACACAGCCTATTACGGTTTTAAAGCCACAGATGGTCTATCAGAGGGGAGTGTATGAGTATTTCAAGCAGTGATGGAAAACCGTAGTGAGCACGAGTGTGTGTGTGTGTGTGTGTGTTTGGCTGTAGAGGTCTATGAATAGTGACAGTGAGGAAAAGGCTGTCAGAGCAGTAATTCAGAGCTCTGGCTGCTCTCATCAACACCAACATTGCAAAAAAGAAAGAAAGAAAGAAAGAAAGAAAGGAGCCTTGTTGAAGAGGCTTTCTATTACACAATATGCTGCTAGGAGCCCTGCAGCACCTCACACACTATGAGCATGGTGTGTGTGTGTATTTGATGTACCTGCGTATGTAGAACTGCCACTGTGAACGACGATACACATGTGACATTTGCTGCATGAATTTCTTTTGCATTTAAAGAGAGCAAGAATGGTGCATCTCTTACATTGTGTGCCACCTGTCTAGCTCTGGCAAAAAAACCCTTCTGGACTGCTTTGCTGTTCTTTCAGTGCAAATAGAGCAAATTCTCCTGGAGTGTCTGGCAGTCACAGATGGTGGAACGAGTGAAAGGCCAGTGGAAGCTGTTTTGTTCTAAGCTAAAAGAGGCAGCAATTTAAAGAAACATCTTTGAGTTAAAGGATGCTCACTCTTATTTGCATCACCTCATCCCAAACACATCTCTTGACAGTAATATGATGTTTTGAAAGACTGCAACCTATCAGCCTGCCTGGGACTCTAATACATTTAAGGGAGTGGGTCTGTAAATATCAGCCATCTTTACTTCATCATTTGAGGCCATCTTCCCCTGCACGTCTGCATAGTGGCTGCTATTTTTGATCACTATGTGGAATTCTGTAGTTGTGCCTCTGTGGCACAAGCCTGTTCTCCTCCACTGTTTCAAACTGTGTTAAACTGTGATCTGGCAAGTGTTCTAGGTGATAGGATTTTTTGAAAGTGCAGTGTTATTTGTACTGCACTGATTCATCGCTGGCTTCTATTTGATGGCGTGTGCAGTTACACATGCAGACTGAGCAGCTTGGCATGTTTACATGCCTGTTGGCCAGATATAATTGCTAGATCCCGATGCACACTCCCTTTCCTGATTCTCATTATTATGAGTTTTCATTTGTTGTTGTTTTTTTATTCTAAAAGATATGTAATATTGTATAACAGATTAACCCTCCAGTTGTGTGCACCCACCCCTTACTTTAGTGTTCCGGTCACAAGTGACCATTCTCTTTTAACAACTCTTAAATTAACATTAGAAATATTTTTCACCACCAAATTCAGTTCAGTGATCATTCAGTGGGCCATTCAGGGGGTCAGAGGTCAAACCAACCCAGACATTCTGTCCATTAACAAGATGTTATTATTATTGCAATACAGCCATTAGTAATGTCATTTGTCTTTGTGGTTCTAGTACCCTCTGGAAGTGATGGTGATGAAGAGAGAAATCACTTCCAAATAAAATACTCTAAAGAGGACACATTTCCAGCTCCATGTGTTTATTCTTGGAAATCGGGCTACTAGAGTAACCCTGTTTGTCTTGGTGCAGCTCCTCACTTCGTCCTTTGTGTTAAGCAGGCAGTTTTAGTCCCTCTGCCTTCAGGCAACTTTCCTCTGATTGTCTGCTTCCCAAAAACAGGAGATTGGGAGGCTCGCAGCCAAAGAGATGTGATCATATTATTGTTCTGTTTTACTCACATAAGCGTGTGAAGCCTGAGCTCTTGGTTATGAGGGATTACTCGTGCATACGCTAATCTCATCCTCTGAAACTGTGGCCATGTTTAATATGTGCATCCACAATTTGCACAGGACCCTGACCTTAAAAGTACATTAGAAAAGGACTCCTTATTTGTTATTGTCAATAGGAATGATTACAGGAAGCACACCCCGTTTCAGTATTTAAATTGCTTGTGAGTTTTAATTTTGACTTGATTATGCTAAAAACTTTTTTTTTTTTAATTGATGCATTTGAAAACTTTATGGTGGTCGTTGTGACTCCTAAAACAAATAGACAAATCGTCAGAAGGCGTTATTATAGCTCTGCATCAACAAGTAGACATCAGAAGCTAGTTACCCAATGTTAGCGCCAGCTTGGTAAAGCTCACCCCACCTGCCAGCTGCTTTAATTGGCTCACATCCCACATGCTCCACATGTTATAGCTCCCTTCCCAAATCATCCCGGATGATGGTCTTATCTCAGCGGTTCAGAGCCTGCAGACTCTGTCTGAGTCATGCCGTCGCTTCCATAGCACTTTCCCGAAGAAGGAAGCTGAATGGCTGACGATTACTGCAGCCTGGAGATTTTGAAGTCTATTAAATGTATTCTTTTTAACTTTGCAAAGAAACCCCAAAACGCTTAGCAGGAAACAGACTTAGCTTCCGTGACTGAGTTATGTTATATAGCTCGCTGACATGAGGCAGATCAGGTGTTCTCACCTTCCTTCATGCTAATGTTCTATGACTATTAATAGGAAGCTCCTCCTGCCCCCTTCAATACCTGACTCACCTTAACTGGCTTCACTTGAGAGAAAATGGACCGTGTGTGTGTGTGTGTGTGTGTGTGTGTCTGTGTGTCTGTCTCTCGGTATGACTAGCCATCCATCTTACCTCCTCTGCTCTTGTTATTCCTCCGTCCTCACCTGCCGCTTTTCATTTCAGCTCACCCGTGTTCACTTTGTTTTTCTCTCCTCTTTCCACCCCTACCTTTACTTTCACCTACACTCTTTTTGCTTTTCCCCTTCCTTTTTCCTATCTTGCTCCCCCTGCCCCACATTTTCTTCTCCATTCCCCCCTCCACCTCATCTCCGCCTTCCCTCCTCCAGTCGGATGAAGTCTGCAGGGAGAGACGGAGGAGCGCAGTGCTGCCTGCTAAGCAGCAGAGGACAACACATGTGCTTGCATTTCTGTGTGTGTGTGTTTTATGTGTTGTGTGTGGGTGGTGTGCAACTTTGTGTAATATATGATGTGTGCTTGTGACACTGACTGCAGCGTGCTTATTCACTGCAGAGCGGCTTGCAGGAGCTGCTGTTTATCACACTGTCTCTCCTTATCTTCTTCATGCTGTCTGTCGCCTTCCCCCTTTCTATTTTCAGTCTTTGTCCCATCTCTTCACATGTGTACACACACACACACACACATTCCCACACACACCTGAGCAGAGCTTTTAAGCAGGTGTTGTTTTTTTGTCAGCTCCATCCATTAAACATAATGGGTGTGTGCATGAAAGCTGTTTTTGTTTTGTTTTTTTCTTAATAATGAAAAGGTGTATGTGAGCGGAACAGCGTGCGTGTGTCCTGTCTCCAACAGTTCACGTCTTCCTCTCTTTGCAGCGGCCTAATTAATGTCATCCGTCTCACTTACACTGACAATGCTCCTCTCTTCTCTCTCCTATGTTGTCTCCTCCGTTCTTTTCTCCCCTGTCTTGTCCTTTATTTAACTCTTGCTTTTCGGCCCTTTGTTTAGACCCTTTTTTTCTTCCATCTTCACATCAGTCTTTTTCCTGTCTTGGCCTTCTTTTCTCTCTGTGGCACATTGAGTAGCCAAAGGTATGACTAAATATATTTCCAAGTCTGCTGTGTATTCAGTGACACAAACCTGTTGGATTTATTTTATAATTATGAGTACAAGCAAGAGAATATGTCCAAATCTGCCAAACACACAGTTTGACAGACAGAAAATGTTATATTCAGATTTTTTAAATTTGTTTTTTGTTTTGTTTATTCAGTAAAAGTTATTTTATGGCTGCTCATGTTTATTTGAGAACTTGCTCTCTTGTCTTCACTTCCTTCAGGTTCTGTCTTTCTAACCATTTCCTATTTTGTTGGCAATTAATTTGTGAAATGTGAGTAATTGGCATTTATGCAAAGCAGTTTAGCAACAGTGAAAAGAGCAGCAAAGCAGGCGACTCTCGGACTTACTAAAGTACTTTGACATGATATAAAATCGTATTCCTCTTTGTTTTGGCCTTGGCCCTTTTTCCCTTCCTTTAAGCCAAGTTTCTTCTGATTGGCTGCCCCTCATTAGCAGAGGATTTTACACAATAGTTGGGAAAGGCTTCTCTGCTCACGGCCAAGAGTAGAAAATATCGAATCCTGAGTTTTTGGCTCACAGGGATCACTTAGTGACTGGAAGTGGAAGTCACTGTGAAAAAGATAAAGCTCCACTCACAAAAGGAATAAAGACTAGCTGGTAACTCCCAGAAAACTTAAAGTCACCATAGAAAAATGCATATTCCCCGACTGGTTAGCAAATTTGTTGCTAAAGGTTCCCAGCAATCACTGGGTAAAATCTGTCAGGTTTAAAAACTCGTGAGTGCTGTGGATGCTGATAGATTGCCCAGCTGCCCGTAGTTTGCATGGAAGATGTCGACTTGTCTGCAAAGACTTGCCAACACACAAGCGGCAGTAACCGCGATGGAAAACTGAAAACGTTCTCCTTCAAATTAAAAGTTGTGCCTTCCTGCAGGTGCAGCTCTTAATATGAAGGCAAATATTCTCCCTTTGCTGTTTGTGTCACACTCGTAACACTTCCCCTACAGCTCAGAGAGTAAATGGCAAGTTGGCTGGTTGGTGTTGGTGGTGTTGTGTTTCTGCCAGTGTGACTGGGGTCTAACACAAACGTTGGCATTATCATCTGAAACTATGACCATGTTTATTCTCATGTACGTTAAAGATTAAAATAGGTAAGAAGGAAAAGGTGAGAAAACAAATCTAAGCTCCTCTGCTTTGTTTCTCTGGTCTGGTTCTTTCTGCTGATTAGGTGAGATTTACATTACATGTATATTTTTAGGGTATGGTGACAAGAGCAACTACATGATTTTAGTGTATGAGAAATAATCTGTCTGGATGAAAGTCTATATATTCATGACGTTTCTCTCCTTGCCCTGTGTCTTTCTGTCTGACAGTCTGGTTCCAGTATAACAACTCCACAGGTGGACCCCTCCACCTCCTCCTCTTCTTCCTCCTCTACCTCCACCACTACCACAGCGAAAGCAGAGGAGAAGAAGCTTTTATCTAAAGACTCGATCCTGTCCCTGTACGCAAGCAGCTCAGTGGGCAGTCAGCCACAAAGCCAGCAACAGCCTGCTCCAGGACAAGGTAACACACATGCTCTCATACAGCCAGCAGTTATTATTAACCCTTTGTTAATCAAGTCAAAGCAGCTTGGTCAATTGACTCAAACTCACATTTTCAATTCAAGCAGAGTCACTCAAGTTTGTAGGTCTTTTTAAAGGATACAGTTTGCAGGAGGTGTTTCTAAGACTGGTAGAGGGAAAAAATAAAGATTGACAGTTTGTTGCTAAGGAGTTGTGATTTCATGCCACTTTCTCTTTTGGGTCAGGCTCATTTGTTTACTGAGCTTGAGTGTCTTTTGTCAACTTAACTATACCGACACAAAGCTTAAAGCTTAAAAATTTGTTTAAAAAAATTACATTTATTATCGGTTTTATATTAGCCGTTCCACGAAAGATCGAGCATGGTGTTAGTTCAGACAGGAGACAAAGCTCAATCCTGGCAGAAAAGCTGATCTTCAATACTCAGCTGATATTCTCCCACTAGGGCTGCACATGTGCCAGCCACTTGGCAACCCACCTCAAATCAAGGCTCAATAAAGGTTCTGGCTTTCAGTTCTGTTCAGTGCTGGGGGGTCTTCCTGCTTCCAAATCTAAATTACAGCTGTAAAAACTTCAGTGATTTTGGCTAAACTGTTTACAACTACACACCGCACTCAAACATGGGGTTGGACGTTACCCACAAAGATGGTGTAGCAGTGAGCTTGGCATTGATTCTCGACCTCTTAATCTTCTCAAGAGCCGCCGAACAAAACTAATCCTCACTTTATTTTCGCTATTTAACTTCATTTAATTGCATGCATTGCATTGCACCATTGTTTCTGTGGCCATGAGCTGAAACCTACTCCCCAAGAAGGCCGGGAGGATTGAACGAGGACCCTTCTTGTTATGAGGTGACAGTCTGCACCTCTTCACCACTGTGCCGCCTCAAAACTCGAAATAAATTACACTTTTGTTTTGTGTTTGACCTATAAAGTGTCAAATTATTGCTAACATCTTCATCATATCAACGTTTTAAGAGGACTAAAAGCCTGATGATCCGTTTATAGCTTGGAAAATGATCCGCAAGTGGCTGGAAATCTGCAAATGAAGGCAGCAGTGTGTCTGCTTGTGCGAAGAGAACATTTTAGCCTGACCAAAAGCCTGTCTTTATTTTTGGTCTACATTTCAGAGATGGAAAAAAGGAGACTGGTGGAAAACAACATAAACAAGTGGAGTTTTGGCTGACTTTGGAGAGCAGTCAGAGGCTGAGAGCTCACTCGCACCCTGCTGACATTGTGTATGTGTGTGTTTGTCTGGTAAAGCTGATCTATTAATCAAGAGAATTCTTACTTGCTCATAGCCTGACACCTTTACAGATGCACACAAAATGAAAACTTATGGCATTAAGAGCTTTTGGACCTTGAGAACCTTTTGATACATTCTATAACTCTTAATGGAACGGCAGCTTTTTTGTATCTTCACTCTGCAGAAACTAGAAAGTATCTTTTTTTTTTTCTTTTTCTTTTTTTAGCTCCTGACACTGACTTCATCAGTACAATAATTTAATAATTAAGATCATGATTTGATCAGGTTAAACAAAAGATGCAAGATTTCGTAATCCTGGATGTTTGAAGTATTTTTTTGGAAGCTACAAAACAATTTATGGTACCCATACACGTTCCACAAAAATTTGCTGTACGTTATGCTTTTCTAAGCTTTGTTCTTATCTCTGGACACTCACATGAACCTTGTGACCTCTTTGGAGAATCACCCCCAGAATGGGAGCCTACATTTTTAATGACTACATGCTGCCACTGCAGAAAATAGTTACTGTTAAGGCAAGAGGTGTGGGAGCTGTTATCGTAGCAAAAGTACCGGCAAGTGCATTTGGAGAGTTGTGTAACTGTATCTTAATGTGTCTGTATGTAATCAGATCTGAAAATGTGTAAAGGAACCTTTAAATGCATTTTGAGCAATCTGATTACACACAGACACACTGAGATCCAGTTACACACTCAGCAGAAAATATTACTGCTACAGTAATAGCCCCACACAAAGAACCTCGGCAGTTACGATTTATATGCATTACTGGACTCGTGGATCAGAGGACTGAAATTCAATTTACATTCAATTCAATTATATTTATATAGTCCCATTTCACAACAGCAGTCATCTCAAAACACTATATGGTAAAGGCATCACAGTGTCAGAGAGAGAGCAATCAATGAAGTTCTCTCATTTGATTGCTAAAACAGAGACCTCCTGAATGAGGCTCGAACATCAGAACATTTAGAAGACGAGGGAAACAGACGAACAAAGAGCTTAAAAAATAAACAAGATTAGACGCAGATTGCAGGAGAAAGTAGACAGAAGTTACTGACATGTACTAGTGGCATGTAAAAGAGGAAATGGGAGAAGAAAACACTCAGTGGATCATAGGATCAAGGGAAGTCCCACAGCAGCCTTTCATTGAAGCAGAAAACTAGGGGATGGTTTTAATTAATCAAACTTAATCTTAAAGATTGATTAATAATTTTAAAAATGGATGGTGTTTGACTCTGAACCCAAACTGGGAGCTGTTCCAAGCCTGACAGCTGAAGACGCTGCCTCCCATTTTACTTTTAGAAACTTTAGGAAGTTGAAGTGCAGCTGAAGTGGGACGATCTATGAGATCTTTAAAATATCAAGTGGTGCAATGATTCAGAACTTTGTATGTGAAGAGAACATGCTTTTTTTCCAAGACTAGAATTAGCTAGTGAAGCCAATGAACCTAATGTGGGAGTAATATGCACTTTTAAAGAAGCTTCTCGGATGAGAGGTGAAACATGTTCAAGGAAACGTAAAGAAGTCCAGAGCATGCAGCAGAAGGCCTGGGGCTGCTGCGTTTAGCCTGGCTGAATACAGCTGCCTGCTCAACCTGTAACTTAAACCGGCACTCAAGGATGTTCTTAATGTAATTCATTTTTTTAATGTGCAAGCTGAAGGACATGTGTTCAAAAAGGACTTAAAGGTTCCTCGCAGTAGAAATGTCTTGTGAATGTAGCGCGTAAACAAACATTACACATACACGGCGTCTCGTAAGCTGGCAAAGACGTGCAGGTTATAAATACAAGGCTGCAGACTCAGACCTAGGTGTTTACACACAAACAGATGCACACCTAGGCAATGTTGTACACACACATGCATGTTAGAGGGAAGATGCATCATAAAAACGTAGGAGAGTAAAGATGAAAGGTCAGCGTGCTGAAAAACAGGAACGTCTAGTTCACACTGCATTTACTAGGGTCCCAGTGCAGCAGTAAAAATAGCGAAGTGTCTGCAGGTTCGCTTTCATCTCACAGTTATTATGTGTAAAGACTGAAGTGTCAGGAGAGTGTGCATGAGCGCCTGTGCGAGGATGTATAGGTAGGCGGATGTTCACACATACATCATCCATCAGCCTGTGTGGGAAAGCATTAGTGCTGCATGTTTTCTGCTTGGTGGGAGAAAACAGGCAGCAGGTTTTTACAGCAGGCACATGCATTGATTATAGTGTTCCATGTTTACACTGATGTATCAAGGATTAGGAATGGAATGAAGGGCTTTCTGCGTATTGTCCTCTCTGAATCCAAATAAATGCAGATTGAGATCAAAGCCAAAAGAACCTTGCCAGGCTAATGCTCAAAAATCAGACTTTCATCCTGCATGCACTGTATGTGTGCGCGGGACTGTGTGCACTTATCCATGCTGCAATGGAAAGGCTCTAAGTGCAGCCAACAATGAGGTGATCAGAATGTCAGAATATACAGAAGGCCAAAAAACATTGCTTCGTCAGTGATCTGTGGATTAGCTATTTGTCCATGGATCTGTACTGATTTTTTTTGGCTTTATAACAGCTAAAGACTAAAACCTGTGAGGCATTATGACTTGTGCTAAAGAGGATATATTATAATATGAGAGGAGAGTCTCTCATTTTGTACATGCACAGAGCAAAGCAGGGAAGCAGGCAAAAATTGTTTGTTTTTGCCTGCCTGATGGTATCAAGCTAACTCTGCAGATGTCCTTCTCCCCAACAACCTGTTCTGTTTCTTCTTGTGAGGTTATGAAGTGTTCCCATACCGGGTGAACTATGTAACTGGTAAGAGGTCAGGATCTCTTTTCCTGGAAAACATTCAGTGGAAGTCGCACAGGAAACTTGAGCCTCATCACCTGGTTTAAATGAGCTAACTGTGGATGTCATATCTTGTATCCAAGGATTGTTTCAGCCAAAAGTCCATTTGATACACATGAAAATTCCAACACAGGCAAATCTCCGGTGAGGCCTGGGGGTCTCCTCTTCGTAGGACAAGCCCAAAACATCTCACCTAGGAGACATAATCACTGTGGATCACCAGCAGCTCTACTTTTGAATGACCAAGCTACTCACCCTATCATGCATCAGACATTGGTTCAATCTGTCTGTCAATCTCCCACTCCACTCTTTCCTGACCAACTACAAGATCTACTTGGTAGTGCAAGATCCTGAGATACTTAAACTACTCCAATTGGGGCAGCAACTCAAAACCTGTAGTGTGCACTTCCCTGTTTTCTGGCAGAGAATCAAGGTGATTCTCTTTCCAGTTTCTTCACACCTGGCTGCAAACCATTCCAGTGCGAGGAACGGAACACAACCTAATGAAGGCAACAAAATAGAACATCATCTTTAAAAAGCAAAGATGAAATGTTGAAGCCACCAAAGTGTAGACGCTCCAACACCTGGCTACACCTAGATATTCTGTTCATAAAAACTATGAACAGAATCGGTGATTAAAGGCAGCCTTGGCAGAATCAAACACCCACTGTAAATGAGCCACATTAAATGCTGGCAATTTAGACTAGGCTCTTGCTGTGGTTGCACAGGTACCAAATTGCCATTTACAATGGACCAAATACCCCATTTTCCCAAAGAACCCCCCAATTGAAGCCTTTGAAGTAAACAAAACACATGTAGACCAGTACCGCATTATTCCTCCTGGATCTGAAGTTCAAGTAATGGAAGGATTCTCCATTCCAGTACTCTGGCATAGACTTTCCCAGGGAGATTAAAGAATGTGATCAACCTATAGTTGGAACATAACTTTCGGTCCCCAGTTTTGAGAAAGAGAGAGTCCAGCCACAGTAGGGAGGAAACTCATCTGTCGAACATGGTAGAACCAAGGTTCTATTTATTAATGATGTAAACGACAGAAGTAGAAGGATGAACTCATGAGCTCAGATTGAGCCAAATGCTTCAAAACTGATTGGATACAGCTTCATAGCACAAATGGAAATTGTTTTTGTACTTGCACAGTAACCAGTTTGTGTGATTTCCCACCATACAGGCATACAGGACTTTATTCTATATACTGCAAGTACCTTGCAGTGAGGTGACAAAGCCAACCACTTCACTGAAAATGACCCAAAACATATTGCTATAGCAACTCTACAGTTTTTCAAGGAAAGAAAGTGTATATTCGTTAATACAATGCAGTCATCTGATGTCAGTCCATAAGAGCATAATTTCAGTTACCGAAGGCAGAGAGACCCACAGAAAAACCACTGAAGGTGGCTGCAGTAAAAGCCTGGCAACTTAGTGCCAGCCTGCAGGAAGCAATTCAATGTTTTTAGGAAAGACACTGTATCTTTAGACTATGAAATGCTGACATTACAGCTATTACAACCACTGCTGAAAACCTCCTTAGTACCAACTGAAGGTCATTGTCTCACAAAGCCAATTTAACAACATTGTCTTCAAAAAACAGACAAAATTCCAAGGTCCTCAAACTACACATCTCATCTGCCTCAAGTTGCACCAGAGCTTTTTTATCACTTTGTCACAGTGACCCAGTGCATTGCTGATGGCATGTGGGCAATACAAGAGCAGCTAGTGGCTCTTTGGCTCTGAGAAGGTTCATCAGGTCATCATTTGTAATAAAAATGTCAAGAATCTGCCTTTCCCTATTATCATCCGTCTTCTTGCCACACACTGAATGCAGCACTCTTTGGTGACCTGTTAGAGATGTCACTCTTCAATGAAATCCCAGTCAAAGGATATCACCTGCAGCTCTTCACCTCACTGTTCTTTGTGCATTCCCCGTTTGTTTTTATGATTTTACTGTTTCTCAACATCTTTACAGGATGAGTGCTAGTACGTTTGTTTGTTTTATTGATTGTAATTTGGGATGTTTGACTTCCTGACGATTCTTATATTTGAATTTGAAGGCAAAGTTTGAAGGCATATTCTGTTGTCTTGTATTGCAGGCAGTGTGTACATGGGCCAGCCCCAGATACAGTTCACTCCGCAGGGCTACGCCACAGCAGTGGCTGGAAGTATCCCACCCACCACCACCATGATGGGGTCTGGGGCCATGGTGTCTGGGATGGCACTGCCAAATGGGGGCTACATGAGCATGCAGCAGGGTGCGATGCCTGCCAACCAAGGACAGAACATGTACAGCATGCAGCAAGGACAGTGGAATATGGGCCAGGTAACAGGAAGAAATATAAATCTCTGTATTAAAGTGCAGTCAGAATGATGATTAACATTTAGCTTTTTGCCCACTCCAGTTGCTGTGAATATATAGATTCACACTTAGATCTGTTCCCCAATTCTGTGTGGAGCTCAGTGCAGTAATAACCTCACCAATGTAGTAAAAGCCCAAGAGGTGCAGCTTTAATCAGCTATTCAATCTTTTTTATAACCAGGGTTACTGTATAATAATATGAGGGTTTTTTTTCTTTTATTCTGTCACATGCCTTTATTCCTTTGTTCCTAATTCTGCCCAGAACAGCACATTACTTAGTATATAACCTTTGATTTAGGATATTTTAATACCACTTAGAATGCAGAATGAAATTTGATGATTTGTGTGACTTGATCATTGGTTATAACTGTTTTCCAGCCAATTTGGAATGAAATTACATAATAATACCATAGACTGTATATAACACATGGTCATAGCCACCATGATGCCATGCACTGGTTTCTTGGCTTCCCAATTTGAAGCCTCAATGATAGTGTCTTTCTTGGAGCTGCAATCAACCTTATTTGGACAAGAAGGTGAAAAGTTAAGACTCACTATCTAACCTCCTGAGAACCAAGGAAAAAAGTATCTTTCAGATTTTCCCACTGCAGAGGACATAGTGAATGTGCTGGGTCTCAGGAGGGTGAGGCTAACAAAGCTTTGTTGCATAAACTGTATGGGTGCAACACATTGTTCTGTTGATGTTGTCCACAACATGCATTCACATGCATCACGGGTCACAGCTCTTTAAGGTCCAGCCACAGCATTTTAATCAGGCGAGGGTCTGGACTTTGACTGGGCCACTGCAACACCTTCAGTCTATACTTTTTCAGTGATTCTGGTGTAGATTTGCTGCTGTTTGGGGATCTTTCACCTGATGCATGACCCAATTTGGGCCTCACATTTTGACTCTAGAATACTTTGGTATACAGAGGAGTTCGTGGTCAACTCAATCGCTGCGAGGTTCCCAAGTCCCGTGACTCAAATCATTACCCCTCCACCACCTTCCTTGGCAGTTGATGTGGTTTTGCCTAAAGTGTTTCAAAACTGTATTTTTCACATGCCTGCATATTGTAGAATCCTTCATTAATGTTGCAGTGGCCCACTTCATGGCCATTCATAGAGCTAATGTTACTGAAGGAGCATCTGCTGTAGGATTTCCTTTTGGTGACGTAAGTGCTTCCAAGATTAGTCCAACATTCAGAGAGTTTCGGTGACTTCTAATCACATCCCTGACAGAAATGCTCTTAGATTATTAAACTCGTACTTAACTGGTGCAGGTGATTGCAGTCTATAATGTGGAAGCATAGTAACAGTTCATCTGATAGAACAAAATTAAATTGGACGTGAAAAATTGTCTGTCCAGGGAAAGATGTGAAACAGACACCAGCAGCAATCCCCCTTTGTGTGTTTAGATACACTTGTGCTTTTGCCGTAACTGCATCACTGTGTCTACATTAATCTTTTCTTCCCATGGTCTCTTAAATGCATCTTTCTTTCTTTATATTAGTTATTTATTAGAGAAATCTGGTTTTCTAAATCGAAAGAGGAAATATTACGTTTTACACAGAAATCATACCCCCGTGAACCATTACCAGGAAAAGACGCGTCTTTACAGAGCCTGAAGTTCGTCTATTGAATACTTTCTGTGGTCACAACCTAAAAGGATGTATTTACTACAGTTGCATAATGTTTTATTTCACTGGTACTTCAGATTGTATCAGTGAAATCCCCAATGTATATTTCTGTCCAATGTTCAGAGCAGGCAGTCATGAAATACAGTGGATGTCTAAAAAGAACAGCTCAGTCCACAAAGACATTCATTCTTTTGTCTCGTCCAGAAAGGATTCAAGAGAACTTGGAGCATTCACCAGCTTTCATGTGAATGAGTTTTCAGGGCCTGGCAGATGAGTCATGAAGCGATTCAGGTTGGCTTTATTCAGCCTAGATCTCAATGGCTAAATCTGAATGAATTTTTAAATATGACACAGAAGTTACAAAAATAGAATTTCAGATCAGCTCAGTTCACTGTTAATATTTTCTTCACTGTATCCTCATTGCATGATTTTTCAGTTTTTCTGCACAGCATTCCCATAAGAAAAAGAAATATTAAAAACTTATAAAAGACTTGCTTAAGATGTGGCTTACTTCATATAGTGAATCATATCAGGCTTATATGATTTACTCATGAAAGTGGCCACTTTCTCATTACTTTCATATATTGTTTTAGTAAGTATCCAAAATATACAAGTTTCATTTATATAATTTTTCAAGGGATTTTATATCTGTTTTCACTCTTGTATGCTTTTCATACAAGTTTCACACAAGACAGATACAAACTTTATAAGATTTATGTATATATCTTTTCCATATGGGTTGGCAGCATGTAGGGATTTACATTGACTTTTTTCGGGGGGGTTTTGGCACAGAAATGTTTCATGATGGTGCAACAACACCTGTTCTCCATCTTAATGTCTTCGGGACTGCCACATCCCCCACAGCAATCCTCTCATCGCTTCGCTCTGTTTTTCTAAACATGTTTTTGAGCGTTTTATTGATGTCAAACTGTTCCCTTCTTGCCTTCGTCTGTTCCCATGCCACTGTTGCTAGCTACTTATTGGTTAACAAAAATGGCAGAGCATTAATTATTACAAGTTCTCATTATCAGTCCTCATCGTTTAATTCAAAATATATAAACTGTAATAATACAAAAGACAAATTGAAATTAAATAAAATGAAAAAATAAAATGTGCAATTACCAAAAACTACAGTTCATGTAATGGCCACTCGAGGCTCCAAATTGAGTCAGTTCCCATTCAGTCGCATGTTAAAATGCCTAAGCTGAGCCATGAAATGGAAATGTTTACAGCCTGTTTTTGGCCTCATGAATAGATTCACCCTTTTAAAAAAGTGTCTTAGGGTTTAAAGCTGGGAGTGCAGGGCACCACAGTAGCTTATCTAGAGTATATGCCCAGAAGAAGCCTGAAGGCCAAAAATAAATATGCAAAAATATGCAAAAATAATCCCAACAGATGTGCTTAAAAATGTTTTTAAAAAAAAATAGAAACAAAGAAAAAGGAATTCAATTAATCAAATTCTAAATCCAAAAATATGAAATGAAGTCCTTCTTACATTTGAATTTGAAAACAGTGGCCAGCAGTGTGTTGAATACGTGCAGAGGGTGGTCAGGATCCATTATTTAGCCATACATCCAGCCACTGTGCGTTTGGATCACATCAGCTGATGGAGGAATCCAGACAGTTTGTTGATTGAAAAGCAATCATCCGTCAGTAAGTTGTGGTCCTAAAGGGGTGGGCCAGCAACAATACTCAAGTAATCTGTGGTTGGTAGTAAACACAGATGTGTTCATGTTTTTACATCAAATTCTCACCCAAACATCTGATTGTTGCAGCAGAAGTCATAACTCATATATTTAGAAGTGTTTTTCTGAATATATACAGGGGTAAAATAAGTATTGAACACATCACTAATTTTCTAAGTAAATATATTATTGACATGAAATTCTCAGCAGATGTTTGTAACAACCCATCCAATCCACACATGCAAAGAAATCAAACCATAGATGTCCAAGTTATGTGTAAGGATGAAAAATAACTTAGAGAAAAGGTGTTGAACATATGGACAGTCATCACACCATCATATCATGTGATATTATATAAAAACGAAAAATAAAGCATGTCCATAGTGTCCAACCCCAGTGGTATTAAGAGGTGTTAAAGTGTTATATCTGAATCTTCTTATGCTCTCTGAACCCTGGTGTATGAGGTTACATTTTACAACTGAGATTATTCAGCGAACATAAATTGCCTCTGAGATGCTTTGGGTTTGTTGGTTTTATATAGTTGTCTTTTATTAACCTATTACATTCACTCCTTTCTTAGTACCCCTAACAAAGTCCAAACATGAAGCTGACTGAAAGTCTGAACCCTACCTTTGAAGTTCTGCCTAAAATGTGATGACCAAAGTGCCCTCACCCCAGTGTATGGAAGTCAGTAGTCCGCACTAACGCAGCTGTACAGTGCATGAAAGTGTGTGTGTGTGTGTGTGTGTGTGTGTGTGTGTGTGTGTGTGTGTGTGTG